CCTTAGCAAAGCGCATCCCAGGCTGCATAGCCGCACTACCCTACCCAACCATACCACACATAAACATGACACTACCCCCGGGGTTTACACAGACGAGCCGGCGAAGCAAGAAGAGCGCCAGAAGAAAGGGCCCTAGCCGGCGGGGCCCAGCCAGGACAAAAGGAGGTCCCACAAAGCGCCTACACCGGCCGCATTTGCGGTCGGGGTAGACGACGGATGGGGCCCACCTACGAAGGCTGTCCAGGCCTACACGAGATGAGGCAGGATAAAGAGGGATAATCCCCCTCGATCCCAAATCATTGAGGCCAACTTTTAGCCATAGATTAATGGCGCGTTTCAAGAACTTAGGAAAAAAACCGCGGATTGCATTATAATTTCTGCTGTGTGTTCCTTTCTAGTGTTCTTCGTGCGTTCTTGTTCTGTGCAGTCTGCAGAGATATGTGCTGTGTTCTGTGGGTAAAATCAAACCAAATAAATAAATACGAAATACGAAAAGTTTGAAAAGTGATGCTAATCTCTATAATTTTATTTATTTTGTTGTATTTTAAAACAGTGGGATACAATATTTAACGAAAAAGTCCTTCTGTGACCTGTGAAGCCGAAAAGTGACTAAAAAACTTCAACAAAATGTCGACTTATCTTTACTGTGATAACAATGTTAGAATTTATGTGTAGATATTTGATATAATGAGCAAATCTAAAACATCTAAAAAAATTACGAAATGCAATCTTAAACAGACAGACATATTTACCGCTTTTCAAAATTGGAAATCCATCAAAAAAGAAAGGGACATGAAAAAAATTGCATTATCAGCTGAAATAATAGTAATTTCTGATTCTGATTCAGAATCAGAAATTGAAAGAACTAGCTGTACTAACAGTTTTCCAAAGAAGAAAAGACCACTTGCACAACCATTTTCGGATGATGAAGAGGAACAAGGTATAAAATAGTTAAGTCTTAGTCTATGTATAATCGATTTAAATTTTGTTTGTACTTAGAGAATGAATGAATGAAGTTTATTAGGTGCCATTTTTCTCAATGGAATATAATTTAACTGAAACCAGTAAAATTAAAGGATCCATAAAGTGTAGCAGTAAGACAATATAAAATAGGTTATGCATAGAATTTTTGTTTTGTTAAATACCTATGGATCAATTTAATCAAAATCTACTAAATTAAGGGTTCCATACAAGGGATTAACCATTTTAGACAATTTCCAAATATGTACTTTACAATCCCCTATGTGTACACCGCAGTACCTCACAGTAATACTTTGCAGTTCATCACAAAACTTCTATGTGCACCTCGTAGATCAGACAAAACCCTCCATTTTAATTTTTTTTTAACATATGACAAACATACAGAAATTCACCGTAGTTTCTAACAGAATTAGAAAATAAATCTGAACATTTCTCGATAAATAAGATGTTACCTGCTATGAGTTTTAATAAAAAGATTATTTAGTGTTTCTCCAAACAGTTTGCTATTTAATTTTGATGTATGGAACAATAAAACTAAGAATTAAATTAATAGTTATAGAAAATGGCCGACACTACTATTCTTTATCTTTATAAAAGTTGTACAGTTAAAAACTTGAATAAAATAGAGCTCTCGATTTATATAAGACTTGCTAATGTCCTTGTTTTGATAATGGCAAATTCTGATGAAGAGCAAGTAGTCAGAATTATTAACTAAATATGCCCAAGACGTTCGTCCTGAGTTATTGGATGAAGAAGAATATATACTATTTTATGGTATTTAATTTTAAAAAAATTTTCCCTTAAAAGCCCTTTAGGAAATATTGTTTATTGTAATTGTCATCAGTTTAAGTAATAATGCTGTAAACGCATCACTATTCAGAATGTTGCAGTACTTAACAGTCCTATATAAATACCATCCCTTCGCAATACGTCTATACAATTTTGATGAACATGATGACATAATTATATCAGTAATATTTATAATGAAAAATACGTAATCCATGGGTTTTGCAGAGGACGGATTTCTTGAATGATAGCTTATAAATTAGTATCTAACTTCATCTTATTTCTTCAAATTCCCGATGTTTCTACATCTATATTGTGAATTTGTATTTTCGTTGTCCCATACCCGTTAATGTTTTTACTAACCTAATCTTTGTTCATGTTCTGCTAGAAGTAGCTAGTATCTTCAAAAATAATTTCAGTTACAACAAATTTTCCACCATCGAAACAAGTGATAGTGAAAAAAGAGGATATCTCGGAAGATGCTGAAACAAATATTTTGCCAAAATTAAAAAGACCTCTATCACATAGTTTCTCTGATGAAGACACAGAAGAAAAAATTCCAATTAATTATACAGGTAAAATTCACTAAATGAAAATTACTGTGTCTGTTGTTCCAGTCTCTATTTATTTTTTAATCATTGTTTTCTAGTTCTTCATATTGTGAACTGTACTGCCCTTAGTTTGTTCAAAGTTATCTTATTTTCAATAGCAAAGTATTTCAAAATAAATTATTTTAACAATTGCAAATAAAACTACTAATTAAATTTTATTTTTATTTTTTTTTCTCCTATTTGTAATGTATTAAGATGAAAATTTTAGGGTTCAGTAATGAAACAATTCCAATTGAATCAGGAGACAGTCCAATGTATCCCGCTGCTTGTTCAACACCCCGTCCTGTATCAAATCTTGGTGATGATTTAGATACTCACGTCGGTCGGGAAATCTTGGATATTTCCCAAATAGAGAAAAGTGGTTGTAGCCCAGCTACCTCTACTGATTCTGAAAAGACGGTAGTAGAAAAAGAAGTATCACACACAGGAAGGGTTCAAATAATAAATGCAGTAATCATTAAACCGAACAACAGTAGTTTTTATACAAATACTACAGTTCAAGCACAGTACTCCAGTAATACCGAAAGCACTGGAAGTCCATCGGGTAGTTGTTCTAGAAATACTACCGTTATTCCCCAGTGCTCCAGTAGTACTACAAGCATTGCAGGTACTAGTAAAAAAAGAAGCATTCAACAGGAAAAAGATGCCAAAAAACTTAGAACAATGAACACAGATGCAGCTTCAACATCAGAAAAATTTCAGCAAAATATGGTTTCTCAAGAATTTAGAAAAAATGGGTCCACATCCACTTCTACATGTAAATGTGATTCGAGATGGCTGTCTAAGGAAAACAAACCTGATTGCAATAAGAATAAAAGAAAGAGTGACTGTCCAAGACTAGGAGAGATCAAGAAATGTGTTGTAGCAGATAAAAAAGGAGTAAAAGCATTAGGAAAAGATAGCGTTCAAAAAAACCAAAACAAGAATACACAGCAACAAGTTGATAATACTCTAAAAGTGTCATCGAAGGAAAATGTACATAATTATTCTAAAGGCGGCAGTACAACCGATAAAAATGAGAATTTGCTCCTCACTGTGAACAAAGCAATCGATAGCGACAGATCGGGTGCTAATATTTCTCCCAACCAGAACTGTTCCTGTAGAGAAATAAGTCCGGAAACGGTATCAAAATGTGATAAGACTGCAAATAGTAATGGTAGCCCAAAGAAAAGCTTGGACAATACAAGTTCTTCTCCAGGCAAAAATATCGTACCAAAAAAGGAAGAGAAGAAGATGAACACAGAGTCGCTCATATTATTAACAGGTTTGTTTAAGACTGTTTTTTCCTCTAAGCATGTAGTAAATAATCTTCTAGAAACTGAAAGAAAGTTGATTAAAAACTTTTTATTAATGGACATTAAATTCCAATACGTTTGTTTGAAGCTTTTTACTAGGCAGAGGAAGTGGTACAATGCTTTTAAATTCTGCAGACTTATTAATCTTGACATGGAGGAGACTGAGGTATGTGAAATGGTCAAGATTTTTGAACAACATCAAATTGTCGATACAAGTAAGTAAAATTCTTTGTTTATGTTTTAGACCTTACAATTGTTGAGTGCAGCATTTCAGGTACTTCTCAAATGCTTATTTGTAGTATGTTGCAAATAAAATTTTTTTCTCAAAAACCATTTAATATTACTAGGACTGTGAATTAATTTTGAGATTTTTTGGTAAATTCAAGGCTTTATTGTGAAAAATTGTGTACATTTTTCAATGCATTGTCCATTGCTAGCCACTATTTTGTTCCATCTTTCCATCAGTATACGGATAGGTGATTCCACCAAAAAACAGAGCATGAGCTTCAAACCAGAAATATTCAGTCTTGCAGTCGATATTGATGCATAACCCGACAAATTCCTCGATTTTCTAAGCTTAGGATTTTCATAGCATATCCATTTTTCATCACCAGTGATGATACGATGCAAAAAATCATTTCCTTTTGCTGTTAAAGAAATTGTTTACACATCAAAATCGCCGTTCAACATCTCTCAGCTTCAATTCGTATGACGCCCAATTTCCTTGCCTTTCAATCATTCCGAAACTGTTGTCCGATCAACATTTAACGATTCAGCATTTGCGTTTGACATGAATCTTGGTTGAGTAGTGCTTCCAATTCCTCATTTTTGAACTTTTTTGGTTGATCAGGGTGTTCTTTGTCAACTATCCAAATCACCCCTTCTAAATCGTCGAAACCGATACTCGCACGTTTTTAAAGATGGGGTATGTTCACCGTAAACTTCCAACAGCATTCGATGACATTCAGTATTATTTTTCTGTGAATTAAACAGGAAACATAAAACTTCCCTCAAATTGTGTTCTGGTGGCTTGTAATTCGACATCTTCAGAGCTGACAAAAAACATGTTTACAATTCAGCAAAATGACACAATAAAATGTAACAATCTAATGACGGAGCTTTGATATGAATATAGCTACAACAGTTCCGATGTGATAAAGCATAAGTTACGCCATCTATTGTAAATCCCTTAACATTAATTGTTTATAATTGATAAAAATGTTATATTTTTTATATTTTTTTAAGAAAATTATATGAAATTATGCTTTATTTTCAGCGTATATGGACGAGAGTGTACAGTATTTATTGCAACACCTCGACAACATCGACTTAAGAGGTATTTGCGACAAGTTCAGACTTAAAAAAACTTTAAGCACAAAGGAGGAAATGGTCAGATATTTACTAAAATATTCTAAAACCCAATCCACATTAACTATTCAGAAAAGTACAAATCAATTATTATTAGAAGAAATAGAACGTAGGATGGGCAGGTGTATCAGACTAAGCGAAGCATTCCATAATGCTTTCTATTCCACTTATGCCCTTGGAACTTTTGTCAATGGTATGTTTTTAAATATAACTGATTACTTTTCCATTATATTGTGGAAGAAGGCGGAATTTCCTGACTATCCCATCGATGAATATGTTATATTTAGCAGCAGAAATGATTTTGTCAGGTATGTTTGCACTTTCTTAATCCATGGATATTATTTACCCATTCTTAAATAAATTCTATATTTACTGATTTACAAATATCTCGGCTGACATCGGCTAATGGATCTTGGGCAGACGACTAACTAACGGCTCTTACACACGAGCGTTGTTTTGCCGATCGGCATTTTTACCAGCCATTGAAACACGGCGCGGAAAACATTTCACATGGCATTGTATTCAAATGTTACTTTAGATGGGACGTAATGGGTAAAATTGAAAGGATATCTTTTTGAAGACACATTACATGTCAATGGTTTCGCAACAAAATTTAAGAGATACAAGAGCTGCCAAACATGCGCGGTATCATTTTACATCTCATATTTTGTTAGTAATGCAGGATCTGTACCGTGGCAATTTAGTAAAATTTGAAAGTATTTTTATTTTAAATTTTCATTTATGTAGATCTGCTTTTTGTCAGAATTAAGCAGGCTTGTGTAGTTTTCTACTAAAATATTAAATAATCTGTTCCCAAGCTTAATTCGTTTTCGTCCGATCTTTTAAATCATCAGACGTTTTGTCCCGAATTACTAACTTTTCTTGGACGTGCGTTATTAAATACCGACTTCCATGTTTGTGCGATTCATTTAGTAGAGCTGGTTCTGTAGCTGCAGGTGCAAGTCCTGTATTTGTGACTGTGGTCGGTGTGTTCGCTGTTTTGTGTGTAAACCTGCATAAGCTACTATTCATTGAATCCTGCAGGTCGTTCAAAAAACCGGGCAGCGACCACGTGCTTCCATCCAAATTTTAATTTGATCTGCAGCCGACCCTCAAACTTGCCGGCAACGACTTTGTGCATAAAGATATATTTAACTATGTGTAAATTAAAATTTTATGTTATTTTGGCGATCGGTATAAATTTCGTTCGGTAAAATACCGTCCGTGTGCACGAGCCGTAAGTAAGGGACAAAATTCTATGAATATATACAGGGTAGTCACTTTTAAGGTGTTCACCATTAGTATCTTCTAAACTAGAAGATTTACAGGGTTGATTAAGGGTTAAACCACCCTAGCACTTTTTGAAAAATTGTTTTTTTTTCCTTAAAATGTACCTTATTATCGTGGCAAAGTTTCATGCACCAAAGAAATCTGCAAGGGCTTGAATTTTAAATGCAGTGCGGCCCCTTTCACTGCTCTATGGGCGCACAATCTAGGTGCCGCTGTTGGTATCGAGAATTGGAGCATCTGTTTGCCACGTATTGAAGGTAACGAGCGTTCAAATAAAAACGTGGTCAAGTTGGTTCTGAAAATTTGGACGTAGGGCGTAGCAAATGAACAGCTGCTATACAGCTCGTTGAGAAATGAGGTTAAGTTGGTCGCTATAAGCTACGCCCTATGTCCAATGTGTCAGAGCCAACTTCGACCACGTTTTTATTTGAACGCTCGTTATATNTTTCTTATTCGGTACTTCTCAGTTAGGACAATCCATATGATATCTTCTTGCACTGGCATCATTTTCTCCTGACAAAAAATAGACTCTAACCGTATCAACTCTTTCTTGATTCATATATATATAATACCATACAATCATCATGATTCTATTGTGTAAGCTTTGCAGATTAAATATACATTGAATGTTTTCTTATTTTAGTACTTAAATCTTTAGACGTGTTTTTCTCAAAACGACAAATTTCATATCTGCCAAACCGATACCTTGAACAATTTTTGTTCAATTGGCTTGAAATTTTAACTGAATATTCAAAACTACTTTCTCCTCGACAGTACGTAGGATTTTTTTTTATAATGCATAGTTCAATTTTTATTAATGATTTTCGAGCGATTTTTTCCATTTTTATTCAAAACCATGCCATTTTTGCAAAAATCAATTTTAAAAAATTCCTGCATACTGTTGTAGCTAAATCATATTAAATCGAAATTTTCTTGGCTCATAATTGTATCTTATTTATTTTATTAAAAACACACTTCAATGATTATATAATAAAAAACTTTTTACCAAATTTCGATATGTTGTTTGGTTTTTTGAAAAAAATTCCTGAAATTTTGGCTGTTTTTCGGCCTCTAGAGTGGTTTACCCCCTTAAATTACAAGAATGTTGCTTATTTTCATGCCATTTCGGATTATGAAAAGAAATTTGAGATAAGTTATACCATTCCTGAAATATGCTGAAAAAACTGCAAATTTGGCTTTTCTTATTTCTTCCATACCTTTTTTTATTATTGTAAGAATACTTTTGTGAAGGAATTTTATTAGGGGATAAAAAAAAGTCAGTTTTACGATTTACTCAATTTCATAGTAGTAGCCTTGAAAGAACAAATGAAAATTTTGACATTTCTGTTTAAAAGTGAACAATTTAACATTTACAAACAAAATGGAAGATATTTATTCTTTGAAATCTATTCGTGAATCAGATAATTTTATAAAAATTGGATAGTATTCTGTGGTGTCAAAATATTTTGCAGAAATGTGCATGCCATTTTGAAATCTCAGGGGAGGCTAATCCTATTTTATTATTTTTTTTTTGTTTAACAGATTTTTCTCTGCTTTCTTTGATATCGTTTTAATTGGAAATTTCTTCAAAATTTATAAAAAAGCACGATTACTATTTTAGAAACTAATAGAAAAATATTTACACCCACATTTTAGCTACATTAAGGCAAGAAAATATCGAGATGAATTAGAGAAGTGTACCGACCACTTACTTAGTTTACAGCTATGTAAAACGATCTTTGGGGAATTGAAGACGCTAGAAGATGACAGGTATGTGAACAATTTATTTTTTACACTTTCGAGCTACTGCATAGTTATATATTTTACACGCTAGAGAAAAAGTAAATTGTAAATATTTTAATTTATAACTCAAAGTATTGGCAGCTGTAGTATTAGATTATCCCTCGTCATTACAGCCATCCAAATTGTCTAGCTAATAATTATTCGACAATAATTCAGTAGAATTGATAAAGTGTATATCGTCGTTGCCCTTCAAAATGCAACATGAATTTTATCAAACTATTCAATGCAGTTAAAAAACTGTTTTTTAGCTTGTTTATATAAGAGTTACAACAATTATTTTAAATTTTACCGTGTACAGTCACATTTCTGTAGAAAATGAGGCCTGTTTTGGGGTTTTCCGAAAAAACCTGTTGCATTGAAAATATTTCAGGTGGACTGTTTTAATTGGGCCAACCTATATGTATGCTATTCAAAATGTTGTCAAGTAAAATATTCTATATTTAAAGTTCTTAACTATTTTAAGATACATACAAATTAACTGATAAAAAGGTTCTTGCAAAAGTTAATTTAGTATTTTAACTTAGAAAATAGCTTTTTAATGAAAATATCACTGTCATACCAACTAGCCCCGAGAGGATTCTTACTTTCACACGTAGAGTATTAAAAAAAATTGTATGCAAATCGTGTAATGTTCTTTTTTTACCCACGAGATTGCCCCACTTCTGAAAAATATGACACTTTACACATCTTTTTGCATGAATAACTGTTTTATTTACCTGTACCACACAGTTTAATAATTTTACCAGGAGTGACGTCGAGAGATTCGAGAATGCTCCACATCTAATTCGATACACGGCGAAAGCAGTATACGTCAGCACACTCTCCTTCATGGCCGAAAGACTCTATTCAAAATTTCCATCTGATGTCAAGGTGTGGCTGGAATACATGATCAATAAGGTGAATTGCCCGCACAAAATCGGCCACTGGTACTGCCTTTTAATTTGGCTGTACATGAAGTACTTGAAACCCTTTAATTATGACCACGCCGCTCAATTACTGATCGAGGTGCTGGGTGAGAAGAGAGAACATTTATCCGAGGTCCAGCTGTATCAGTTGCGCAAAAGAGGGGAGCAGCTGAACTGCACTATAAAGTATAAAATACTGCTGATGAATCATGATCTCATCGCTGAGCTATTGCCGAAACGTATCAGAGTGGAAATGTTTCCGGAAAACCCCGTCAATGCGAAGGCTATAAGAAGGTAAGATCAGTACCACCCAGATTATCAAGGCCTTGTAATTTATGTGCTATTGTTAGAAGGGCTGCTGGAAGGCGCCGGTGTTTCATGGTTATCAAAAAGCGTGATTCGTGCATAGTTTTTTTTTTGCTAAAAGTATAAAACATTACCCCCTTATTTAGCATATTGCATGCTCAATTTTGTCATTGGACAAGTTACTGTGACCTCAAACCATGGCCTGCATAAGTCGCAGCGTATACACACTTAGAAATTGCAGTGTGCATTGTTGTCAAATTTCATAATTTAAAGGAAAGGTTGAGAATTTAAAAGCAACTTTTCACACCACCCACCATGAAGTATTGGTTTTTAGCATGTTATTTTTATTGAGCGGGTGTTCACCAGGAACCCTGTCATCCCACATAAACAAAAATTTAATGTTTCTAAATAGGATAAACTCTGAAACAGTACCTAACGAGTAATCTAACGGAAAACTCAAACAGTAATAAATAAATAATAATTGAAATACACAAAAATAAGTAAATAATCTGTTTACTGATTTACCTGATTTTTATAGCATATGACATACTTGAAATTTTGTGGGTAATTTTTGAGTGCTGGTACCAGGATACTCTTCCATGGCAAATTTCTGGTTCTCACTCTATGAGTTTGTTCCCATCTAATGTTAGCGTACTAGTGTTTAAATGTCCCATAGTCTGTGGAACGTTGAATTAATCTTGCGAACGTTTTCTTATTCGGTACTTCTCAGTTAGGACAATCCATATGATATCTTCTTGCACTGGCATCATTTTCTCCTGACAAAAAATAGACTCTAACCGTATCAACTCTTTCTTGATTCATATATATGCTTTTTCATAATATCACACAGAAACTTGAAAATGAATACACTAAACATTCAAATAAGTTAATAAGTTACTAATACAGTACGCTTAAACTATGCAAATACACTTCATGAGCACCTTCTTGTAAGCCGATAAACTGAAAACTAAAATAAATGTAATAAAATGAAGTAGTGAGAACATATTCAATTATTCTGCACCTATTTATGGGCCACCGAAGATGCACCAGAGGCTACACTGCACAGAGCCTAAATACTGGTTTATGCACTGTGGCTTCGCCACACTTAAATTCATGTGGCCTACTCAGTAGAGGCTAGCCTCAGTTGCCCTTTGTAAGCATTCGGAATCACATTTTAATAGTATCTGTTTTAACTTTCCTAAATATGTCCCTGCTTATTTTATGTAGAAATAAAGGTGAAAATCATCGAGAAATCATAAAAATTACTGGGCGTGATTTTATTGTTGGAAAGTCTTGGGAAAGATAATATAAGAGGCGTCTCATCTCATGGATCATAAAAAAAGTATAGCGTTATTGTTTTTTGTCAACAAATAGGTAAAAAATTCGTCATTTTTCGTTCTACATTTTATTGTGAATAAACGATTAATCTTAGCAAAAAATGTTCAACAGACGATTTGATCTAGAGAAACTCATCTTTAAAATAAGTTAAAATTGTTTTATAAACAAAAAATTTATTGCAAAATTAAATGGAAAAAGTGCTTTTTCTTTAATTGTTAATAAATTTTTAAATAATTAATAAAATCTTACCAAACTTTCCCAAAATGTGAGTTTTTATATCCTTAAGAGATGTGCAAAAGATGGGCTGGATCGGTCAAATAGTTTTTGCAAAATTCCCTTTATTTATCCCATTTTTGTAAAAAAGGCCCATTTTTAAATGACTATTCCGGGGACGGGGTTATGACTAAAACATTCTTTTTGGGCTCATTTTCTTCGAAAGTACACCAAGTATCCTCTAGTTACGAAAAATTAAATATTTTGTCAAATTTATACAAGGTAACCCAGCATTTTACAGACGTTTAAAAATCAAATCGTATCTCGACCATTTGTTTATTAAAAAAAAAAGAATTTCAGATCAGTATTCTAGGGAACATATAGCATTTCCCCTACAAAAGTGAGTCCCACTGAAAATTACACCCTGTATTGTCTACATTGGTTATTGTCTGTTTCTATTAACCATTTACCTCGACCCCCATTTTCTGCAACGTTTGCATTTGTTTGCAACTTTTGCAATTGTGTCTGCAATTGATGTGCAGTTCTTGCAATTGCTTGCGAAACTTTTGCAATTTTCTGCAAATATCGTCATTTCCTTCAAATGTTGGCATATGCGGACTTTAAATGTTCATATTGGCAAAAGAAAAAAATTTAGATTGGCGATAAAAAAATTGTTTGTACTCCTTGTAGTCGGAGGGACGATCAAGAAATTATCCGTAAATGCCTTTTTGATTACAGGGTGTCCCATTAAAAAGAAGAAACATGTTTGGTTTTTAAGTGTATACTTTTTTTCAGCATGTACATTTTCGTTTTTTTTTCAGTAACGTTTCAGGAAAAAAACGCAATTACGAGGTAAGAGATGCGGAGGGAAACAAAATCATATACAAAGTAGAGGATATCGCCTTAAACGACTACCTGGAGCGGCTTCGTTACACAGGAGGCGTCCACTGCGAGGGTTCCATCATTAAGGCCACGTTTACGCTGTTCTTCTTCGACATCATTTACAGCGCTAAGAATAGCATACCTGGAACATTCGTATCAAAGATACAATGTGAGCCTTTAGATATGAATACTCGCTACTTCTATCCAAACCGAAAAGTAGAAATAGATAAACGCTTGAGAGAAATCGAAAGCGAATGGTCTGATGCCAAAATTATAAAATTTCTCAAGGATAATTATGAAAAACATTCGCATGAGTTTGCAGTGTGCGAGATCGGTGTCATTATAAGTGACGTCAAATTTCTCCAGGATTTGGTTGATTGCATTGGACGTAAAGTCTTAGCTAAAATATACGAACGATTGGTAAAAAATTTCAGGGAATACAGGAGCGGTTTACCGGACCTGCTAGTCTGGAATGTGGATAGAAAAGAAGTAAGTTGATACATATATTTTCTTACAGGCTTTAGTTTAAGGAAAAAAGAATTTTGATTTGTCAAAAATCATTTTATTTTGTTTACTTACCACGAAGAGGTGCACAAACTTTAGGAGATATCTCTCGGGTAAAATTAAGCAGAAGGGTTCGCATAAACCTTGGTTAGGAAATGATTTTAATGACAGTTGTTTTTTATAGTTCGGGAATAGAGAACAAAAGAAATTAATCAATCGTATATGGCTTAATTTTTTTTCTAAATATTCTTCATGATACACTTTTGCATGCACTAGAACCAATTTTTGAAACATTTTTACCATTCTGATTGATGTACCTCCAAAACATGCATTTTGAATGCATCAACCGTTTCTTCAAGTGTCAAAAACGACCTCAATTTATTTTCGATGTGCGGGAATAAAAAAGTCATTGGGTGCCAAATCAGGCCTGTATTGTGGATGACACCTGAAATCGACTTTTTCAGTTCTCAAAGACTCACTTGTTTGAGAGCTTGCGTTGTCCTAATCGAAAATGATGAATCTTCGGCGGTTGGTTTCCCTAATTTTGTCGAAGAATTCTGGCAAACCAATGGTTGTGTACCATTCAGAATAAAATGATGCATCTTTGGGGGGCTGGTTTCCCTTATTTTTCCAAAGAATTCTGGCAAACAAATGGTTGTGTACCATTCAGAATCGACCATATGACATTGTAGTACAATTACATGTCCGGTTTTTTTAAAAAACAGGTGGTCATTTGTTTAGAAGTGTTTCATGTTCAAACAACTTGTTGGATTTGGCTCTTCTTGAAAGACCCGTTCAGTCGATTGCTGTTTACTTTCAGACTCATATGCTTAGATCCATGATTTGTCACCTGTTATAATGTCACAGACGTGTTTTGAAGCACCATGGTCATATTTCTTAAGCTTTTCATCGACCAATCAGCACAAGCCTCCCCTCGTATAGCTTCAATCTTAAGGATACTTTGAAATTTTAATCAAACTGATGGAATTAACACATTTCTATCAATGGAAAAACAAATGTGATAAAAGAAATAAATGTTTTATTGACGGCATTAGACATAATGAGGGCGCGTCCAATTGTTGACATTCCCCATAGTTTTAGAGGAAGCTCGTGCTTTTCTTGTGGAATACTCCATACTAGCACCTGTTTTTTTTTTCAGTGTAAATTCGTGGAGGTCAAAGGGGAAAATGATAAACTGTCTGTGAACCAAACATTATGGTTGGACTATTTACGTAAAATCGGGGCAAACATAGAAGTCTGCCATGTACATTGTAAGTGTTTCTTTTTATTATTTTGGAAATTAATAAATAAAATTCAATTTCAGCCATCGGTTCTAAGCGGAAATTGAAAAAAGTGGTAAAAAATCTTGAGGAAGCATCCACGTCATCGTCTTAAGTTAGTAAAGTGCCATAATCTTTTTTTTGATGATAGTGAGTGTCGACCACATTTAAATTTTACGTCTTGACACAGCCATGTCGAAATATACGCATTTAATATTTTTTATATTTTTATAACCTTAAGTAAAGAAATCTACAGTTATTTATAGAAACGAAAGTATCACTATATTTTTATAGTACAAAATTACAATGTCGGTTTTTTTTTATTTTATGCATTGATAATTTTGTCAACTTTTTATTTTTCAAAATTACTATTATACTTATATTTAAATATATATTTTTTGTAATACACAGGGCATCAGCCTATTAAGAATTATATTTTTACTTTTATTCGAGTTTTGAAATATGTTGTTTTATCCGTTTTATTTCTAGAATTTTTGTTTAGTTTTTTTATATATATTGTGCCTTATATATATTTGACATTTATATTGTTATAAAAAAAATAAATCTTAAAATAAGTTTAAAACATTTCTTTCATTACCCACTTTCAGTGGCGCCGGACCAGAAAAACGTCTTGGAGAGACGTTCTAATCAAGAGGAATCGGATACTGATTATTGAACAATTAAATTATTCAGTAATCTATGAATAATGAATACAGTACTTAGTATTTGTAGAAGATTTATAAATACTGAAGATACAGAGGATTCTTAAGTTGGTCATAAAAAACTACTCAAAACAAGAATTTTTCTCAAATTCTATTTTTTAAATAACATAAATAAGACAAAGAATTGCAAAGAATTTAAGCAACTAAGTCGATCGCCTGCATATTCAAAACGGACAGTATACAGGGTGTATGAAGTTTGATTGCCATTACTTCAGCATGAGATAAGAGTAATCTTAAATGAACAAAAAAGTTGTATATTACAGGGTCGTAAGATTAACAGTTTTCAAAATACAGCGAGTATTAATATTGGGGAGTTTCATCACGTGACAACAGAGCTTAACCTAGCGCTACACAGCTGGTGCATACCACTTTTACATGTGGCAGACTTGTCCTACGGAAAAAATGTAAACAACTATTGTGAAACATTTAGTAGATTTCAAGACAATTGTTTTCCAGTTTTTAAATAAATAAAATAAAATGTATCGATTTTGTAGTACGAAAGTAGTGTTGTGCTTAAATTTTAGCTTGAATTTTAGTAATTATGAATCTCTTAAAACAGGAACTTAACTTTTAAACAATTTATGGATTTGAAAGCTATGTAATTAAAGAACCCCAAATAGCAAAATTCAGTAATTTTTAAACACACAAGTACAAAACAAACTACATATGCTCAAAATGTCCACAACCATTTTCGATGCACACACGATGCCTTCGAATCCAATTTTTGCGCACTTGCTGGAAAACATCTCAAGAAAAGGAAATAGTAGTACGCAAAAAACACTCAGACACGGTCCAATTCCAGATACCAACTAAACTGCGTATCGCTGTACAGCTTAGTACCTCTTGTTATCCGCCGCGCCGTTGTCACATTGCTCGATATCGAATTTTAAATTTATTACAAAGCTAATTATTTTTTAGAATTAAGCATAAAAAAGTTATAAAAAATTGTATTTTATCTTATTCTATGCATGCAATTATGTCACTATTCCTTAATTAATCGAACTTCTGTACACCAAGTTGGAGATTTTAATTTTTTTCTCGGAAATGGTTGAGTTTAGGACCTATGTCATCTAAGTTTTTTTTTTGTTTATTTTAATGTATTCTATCGTTTGTTAAAATTAAAGCAGTCAAACCTCTAACACCCTGTAGAAACTTGATGTTTCAGTTTACAGTGTGGATGTGAAAAGTCCCTACAATTTTTTTTAAGGCGGGCGTTTTTATGCGCAATTTTCAATGAATTTTTTGTCCAATTGCTTAAAAAATCTAAGCAAGCCAGAGACGATATCTCTTCACTGTACTACTCGTACACATTTTCTTCAGGGTATTCAGGCATTTTTTGCCGAACCAGAGTTGGATTAACTTCAATATGTTTGATGGCAATGCTTGTTTAAATGGTAATATTAAGCTTTACACGTAAAATAATCGTAATAATAAAACTATTATATGTCAAAAGGCTATAACTACCACATAATTCAACAAACCAACACACTCCAAAAATAAAAAACCTTTATTAGATCAAATGTTCAAAATTGCTACCTTTGACTTTGACAGTACATTTACTCGGTCACTTTCGAGAATTACAAACGATGGTTGCACGTTCTTCCACTGTAATCTCCCAGGCACGTTCCAACACCGTTTTCAACTGTTCTACCGTTGCATAGCATCTTCCTGAGGTTGTTTGCTCCATGATAGACCACACTGAATAGTCCATTGGGTTGAGATCCGACAAGTAGCATCTTCCTGAGGTTGTTTGCTCCATGATAGACCACACTGAACAGTCCATTGGGTTGAGATCCGGCAAGTTCAGCGACCAAATGTCCTTGCACAACTCTTCGCAAGTGCCACGCCGCCCACGAGGAACCCGTTCCTTAGTATGAATAGTAATGGTGCCCTCTTGGTGGCCCAGATGCCAATCCAGACCATTACCGAGACTGGAAATGCCGCTGGCCAATGGTTTTCACAGTGACAGTTTTCTACTGTCGTTGACTGAGTGGCTGATGACGATTTTTACAGTTGTGGTGCGCTTCAATTATTAAAACTTCTCGACGGTGAAGAGCAACGATGTCGGCCGTCTTTATTCCCGTCTTGTGCAATTCAACAATAGTAACATTCAAATTTTCACGGTTCATCGCCCAATTTTTACTCAAAATTATCAAACAATTAAAACAATACTTAAGGTTAAAATTGCATGGCAAATTCAACTAAATCATTAGAAAAAAAAACCGAATCACTGCGCAAAAAAATTGTGAGAACATTTCACCTATCTTGTACATATTATTAATTTATGGGGAGTGTCGTCATAGTGCTAATGCAGCTTCACAGCTACACACGAAATATTTTCTCTTAAGGGTTCTCCCTTCACTGTAGCCGTTTGTTCGGGTTGTACAAAGGGGCGGTGGCAATGGTGGTAATTTCCAGGAACACCGACCGCATGCAGGAAGACCTAGAGTACCAGAAAACAAATAACAGGAAGAACAAGTTTTGAATCTACAAAAGATGTAACTGAGAGCTACTTTTAGTGGCTTGTGCTACTAACTGGCAGAGAGCGACCTGTATTGCAGGTGCTATGCATGACCAGTGTGGACCCTATGAGGATGAAAGCAAAGTTTTAAGTTATGATATTGCCAGAAACAACTACTCCACAAGCCATATGCCCTGGCTAGCATTAAATTACATCAGCATTATCTTTATTTTTATTCGTACTTATCCCTTTTTTGGATCTAAGCAGCTAGATTGTTCGTCATTTGTACCACTTATGGCATGCTGAAGAGGGCTAAACAATTCGAAACCTGTATATGTCCGGTGTGTTTGGTGACGAATGATCCTAGCTGCATTTAACGATACTGCTGATGTAATTCATTGCAAGTCAGGACATCAAAATTCGGAAAATATTCAAGGTATTCGATAAAAAAAAATTGGGTTGTAAGTGAAAAACCAAAAGTTGTAGAAAAACAGGTAAAAACTAAAATTTTGCAATATAAAATGATTTTTGGCATTCGATTTGCTACAATAAAAGTTGCAAAATTGGCCCATCTGTTTATAATTTTAATAAAATATTGAGTAAAGTTATATCTTACCTTGGACATGATGTGGAAGGTGGCAGCTGAATTTAGTAAGTACTGTACTCGAATTTTTCATAGATTAATATTTATTCAATAAAAATGATGGTTAAGTTGTTTCAAATCCAAATGACTGGTCACATTTTTAATGCTATTATAAACGTTTATACAGGGTGAGTTTTTTTCGATGTTTAGTGTAGGGATCTGGCAAAGTAGCAGAGGTACAAAAAAGCTTAAATGAGGAAAGATATGCAGTTTTATGATCCTTACAGGGTTCATAGCGGCCGGGAAAACCGGGAATATCGGGAGAAGTCAGGGAATTTATTATTTTTCATAAAAAACAGGGAATAGCCAGGGAATTTTAAAAATAATCATGAAAGTCAGGGAATTTGATGTTTGCAACTGGAAATTTTGTGAAAGCCGGCCCTGGGTTCTTGAAAGAGAAAACTATTTGTAGTATTGAAACCTTTATAAGAGGGTATAAAATGATTATGGAGTCCAGTCGAGAAAAAATTTAATGCATAAACACCAATTAGTATGTAAAAATGAACTACAAGTGACCTGGATTTTTTTTTATAAGTCAGGGAAAACCTGGAAAAGTCAGGGAATTCTTTATTACTTTTGAACTATGAACCCTGCCTTATTAAATGTTACTTTTATTTTTTGAAAAAACATCATGGCTGTCTAGATATTTGAAAAAAATCCTAATTCAGCCAATTCCTTCAGATGTGTAGCTCTGTTGGTATGTATTTTCAGGTTTTTACAGCGTTAATAAGATAGTGTGATCAAATTGTTTGTATACTTTCGTTTCCAAGTTATAACATATACTTCAATTTTTTAAAATGTAAATCATAGTTAACTATGAGCTAGAAAAAATTGCTTTTTTATGCTTTCCAACGATATAATATTCGGTATTGTTATTTTAAAAATGGGAGAACTGCAGCCATTTTTAAATTTTCAATTGCTCGTTACCGCAGATGGCTGTGAAAACAATCGAAATGTTGACTGACAACGCTTTTAGTTACTGTAGTATTACTTGACTTTTCTTTCTCAAAAATCAATTCAATTGCCAAAGATAATGAATTTTTCAAACGAGGAGAAGTGTGATATTATTGAGTGTTATAGCTATTAGGCGTTTTGTGAGAAAAGCTTCAAAATCTGTTTCAAAAAGATGTATCTTGCGCATTAACAATAACGGTGGGCTTTTTGAGCAATTTTGTTAATATCTAAAGTAAATAATGGTTTGTTCATAAAATTCTGATAATTTTTACGTGTTTGTCAAGTATTTCATTTACTTACCATAAATGACTATGACCATACTTCCATCATTGTAATTTAAATTCTTTATGAAAATAAATCGAGTTGATATGCCAGTCGCACACTGCTTCGGCGCCCTAACACATACAGACTACAGAGGTGCGCACGTGATGCTGACTGCAATTGTTCTGATTTTATCCGTTGGATTGCTTATAATTTTCACAGCTATCTACGTCAATGAGCAATTGAAAAGTTAAAAACGGCTGCAGTAGTACCATTGTTCAAAATAACAATGCCAAATATTATATCGTTGGAAAGCATAAAAAAGACATTCTTTTCTAGCTCATTGCTAATATGATTTACATTTAAAAAACTTGAAGTTTATGTTATGACTTGAAAACGAAAGTGTATACGAACAATTTGACCACACTATCTGCAAAAATCTGAAACTGTAATTTAAAATTTATTTGTAAACAAATAGCAACAGAGCTACATGCATCTGAAAGAATTGGCCAAATTCGGATTTTTCCAAATATCTAGTCAGCCATGACGTTTTTTTTTTTTTAATAAAAGTAACATATAATAAGGATCATAAAACTGCACATGCTTTTTTGTATCTCTGCTGCTTTCCCAGATCCCTACACTAAACATTGAAAAAAACTCGCCCTGTATATTATTTTTAGGAAAAAATTAGTACAGAGCCATAATAGATTACCAACCACATGACTGCCAAGCTTAGGCAATCCAACACAACTGGTACTGTCAACTAAAAATCCCTAAATCTTATCGCAATCAATATTAATGATTCGTTTACAATGAACAATGACGAACCATTGTGTCTTACACTCGAGATAATGTAATCACCATGTGGTGAAACAGAATGTTTTAATGTAATCTTGATCTTATTGTTTCAATTTTACCGCAGTTTAATTGCCAACCCGAAGGAAATAAAATTACTGTTCCAAACAAAATTACTGGTCACGTGGCTTGTAATCATTTATGAAGGTTATGAACAATAAATTAGAGGTTATTTTTTAATTTCTTCATTTTATTTTTCTAAAATACCCAATTACACAAAACACAACTAAATAATTACAGACAATACTTGAACATTTATTATATTTCTAAGATAGTTTACATAAGATACAGCAAACAGCAGTATAAGTAATAATTATAATGAAGATAAACACGGCCAGAAGATATACAAGGCAATACAAACTGATTTTAAAGCAAATAAAGTGAAACAGATTATATATTTTCAATTTCTTATATACAAGGTACCTATTTCTTTCTAGGTACAACAGCTTTTGTTAAAGACAAAAATTGTATTAATTAATTTCAATTATTATTGATAAAAATTAGATGTATCCAAAATTTTAAAGCATATATATATAGACACACTGTACATTTTGAACTTAAAATTTAATTTCAAATGTTTTACCAGTCCACAAACACTAACAATTGTATTGTGTTTTTAAATAATAAATTAATTCATAAAAAATGTTTACATTATGTATTTTTATAACTATTTGCAGTGTTGCATAAAATGATCAAATTGAAAATGCATGCAAATTTTTTATCAGAAAGACAAATGTTATGTTCAAATTCTTTGCCATTTCTTTGATTTTTCAATTTATTGGTATACTAGAAAAGAATTAATGATTAACAATTACCAATTTTTATTTTAAAGTTGCAGAAAAAGGAATGTTTTAGAATACACAATTATGTCTACTAATGTTTTTCTTTTGATGTGACGACTGTTAAAAGAAGCGTTGCAAATATATAATATACATATGTCTAATAAAAAAATTACGAATTCTTCAGTTATTATAAAACAAATAAATCCATTTTTTTTTTATACCTTAATGTAGAACTTGCGCTTATTACGATGTGTTTTCCAAAAAAGATCCAATGCTTCATACTGATAAACCTTCCAAAACAAAAAAGATTTCTTTAAAATTTGAATTTTGTTAAAAAACAATTCGTCTCAAGGATACGATGAAAACACTTGTTTAGCTACATTTTTTGCATTAGAAAAATATTTAGGAAAAAAGATTGTTGTATAAAATTACAAGGTATTTAAATTTCTAGGTGTAGAGGTCACTGACACGAGTAAAAAATTAATGAAATTCAATTTTTTTTTCTCAAAATTATGAACCTCAGACCTATTAAGATTCTTTTAAATACTAATTTTTGAAAATTTGTATTAACAGTTTTTTATTTGAAAGCTTAACAGGACTTTATTCTAAAGAACCCTCAACTTTCATAAAGAGCTGATCATTTGTAAATTTAACTAGTTTATTTTTAATTTAATGTAATAAAAAAGAGGCAATTTACTTTTATTAGATTTATAAAAATCTGGACATTATTCTATACTCCTCGACTTGATCTGTTCAGATTTTTTTGAGGAAGTGTGAAATTAACCCTTGTTCAACATTAAATCAGAAAAAATTAAAGTTTAATAAATTAATACAATAATTGAAATTAAAATATACCAGGAACCTGTTACATGTTTAAATTTACAAATGGGCAGATATTGGTAAGGGTGTTATGATTTCACATTAAAAAAAACAGCAAATTTAATTTTTCAAAAATTGGCTTCTAAAAAAACTGCAATTCTGAGGAAATTGTAGTTTTCAAATATACACATTTATTTATTGTTTAAAAAAATACACACAGGGTGTACTGGAATAAGTGCTACAAATTCAGGGAATAAATTTTTAAAAACAGCATCAACGATAACTTTTTAATATCAAATTTTGGCTTTATCTTTTCCAAAAAACAATGTAACATATTGAAATCTGGTATAGTTAAGTTTTTGATAATGTTAAATACACAAAATTTTACTGAACATAAAAATGGTAGTTTCTGAGAAAAAACACAACTGACTACTCAAAGTCAACCATTTTCTATTCCTTAATATACAGGCTGTAATAAAATCAAATAGGCCCCACTTAAATGATAGCTTTCTTGTATAGAAATAAACGGATTCGTATTAAATTATTTTCATACAATTTATTTTCATCCAAGCAAACTACTCTAGAAGTATAACCTATTCGCTTTTGTACACGTTTTATATTACGGAGTAGAAGCTGGGACAGTCGATAGGTAAGAGTACCTTTTTTTATATCTTCATAAAATTGTAAACGTAACTTCATAAAATTGTCTCAAAATTTACTGGGTTTATATTTCTTTTTGTTTATTGTTGGTGTGTTAATTGTTGCAAAATAAAAACTTTCTTGCACTTTTTTCTGTAAAATGCATTCTCGAGGCATTTTAAGGCATTTTAATGCTCAAAATTGCTGTAACCCTACAAAGACGCACTTTACAATTAGAGAGAAAAGTGCAGGAATTAAGTTTTTATTTTGACCCTATTAATACAACCGTTTCAAAATCTTAACAATTTTAACAAAAAATTGAGGTTTCCCATGACTTTAAGCTATTTTTTATGGATAGGAAAAAATCCTGACTTGATGGAGCATTTCTGATTGTAGTCCAGTCGGTATCTGTTTCGGGATGGGCGTTTTATATAGTAACGCTAATTTATGTTGGAAATGGTTATAAATATTATGTAAAATGATAATTGCGATAGGCGCCTGCTGAAAAAGTTGTGCATAATTGTTAGCGCAAGAAAATGTAAAAAAAAATTTAAAAAGGCACATTTTTCTCCCTTCTTTCATGTAAACTCGAAGAATATTGATATTAGAGAAAATAGTCAAAGGAAAAAAGTTTTGTTTTGAGATTCTCTTCAAAATAAAAGTAGTCCGAAATTTTCATATGCAATATTGTTGCTGCAATACAGTATAGACCCCCCTGAGCAACGTCACCACCTTTTTCACTGTAATAGGCTGGTTGGCGGTTCAGGTGGATTGATCTCTCTAATGGGAGGATGTACAAGTTGTCCAATGGGGCCTAAGTGCTGTAGCTTTGCTACCCTCCCCACAATTCCAGACTCCAGACAGTATAGACCGAAAAAAAATTCCTGAAAAAAGATGTTTTTTTCATGAATTTATTTCGGACCTTTTCATAGTTATAAAGTCTTTGTTTCAATCAAAATCACTTTTGATTGTTATAGGACTGCCGATTTTGATGGAAAAATTTCTGCAATACAACCATATCATGAAGGACTAAGAACCATACTTTTTATGTCGCTGCTCTAAAGTCAAGGTCTGAAATAAATTCATGAAAAAAATATCTTCACAATTTTTTTTTCGGTCTACAGGGTCGGAAAGTCCCCATGGTTCATCGGCCGTTACGTGAGAGTGATAAATAAAGTCATAGAAATCCGTGCGATAAAGAAAGATGGCTATAATGAAGGCGTCTAATAGTCACCGCCCATTTCACCCTTCCACAAATAAGATCCATTTCTTATTTGTGGAAGGGCGAAATGGGCGGTGACTATTAGATGCCTTCATTATAGCCATCTTTCTCTATCACACGGATTTCTATGACTTACTTTATCGCTCTCACGTAACGGCCGATGAACCATGAGGACTTTCCGACCCTGTATACTGTATTGCATGAACAATAATGCACATAAAAATTTTGAACCACTTTTATTTCGAAGAGAATCTCAAAACAAAACTTTTTTTCCTTTGACTATTTTCTCTGTCATTGTTCTCCGAGTTATACATGAAAGAAGGGAGAAAAATGTCCTTTTAAATTTTTTCTTTCCAATTTTCTTGCGCTAACAATTATGTACTAGGGCTTGCAATCCCGGTATACCGGGATCCCGAAATAGCGAGATCCCGCACCAATTTTTAAATATGCGGATCCCGTTGTGGATTGCGGGATTCCGGGATTGTGCACAGGTGCTTCTCAACATCCGTTTGGCGTCGTTGATTTCACACGTGGCCCGACCACGACGCACAAAATAACTTTGTTTTCTTCGTTGTTAGTAGTAGTAGTCTGTCACAGAATAATTAACGTATATGTTCTAGAGGAAAGTATCTAGAACTAGCCTATATTTGTCTAAAATCTGTAAATCCCAACAAGTGTCGAGGCCGAGAGAGCTTTTTCTGCTACCAGTTATCTAGTAAATGATATACGGAGCTCGTTATCATACCACAGCGTAAATATATTGTTTTCTTCGGAAATATTTTCAGCAAAACCAATAAATAAAAATAAGTAATTTTCTCAATTAATATTAATTTCGTTATTTTATATTAAATACATATCATTTTGTTTATGTTGTACATCTTAAGCCGTGTTGGGGTGCGTAATACAGCCTTATCTGCATAATTATTTTTGTTTGGCGTTCAAAAAAGAAATTTTTTGTGGTATATTGAAAATAAATGATATAAGTTTAATTTTATACTTGTTTTAGTTAATACATAAAAAATGTGGATATTATAATAGAATAATATATCATATTATAGCGGGATCCCGTTTATACCGAGATCCCGCGGGATTTTAAAGTCAAGTGCCGCAAATACCGGGATTTTCAATTCATTGCGGGATTGCAAGCCCTATTATGTACAACTTTTTCAACGGGCGCATATCGCAATTATCATTTTAAATAATATATAGAACTATTTCCAACAAAAATTAGGGTTACTATATCAGAAGGGCGTAAGAGCCACTATAGTCAGTTTTGGGTGTTTAAGGCGCACGACCTGATTTAATCAATTCAGTTAATATATCAGAAGGGTGTATATATTCATAAATATCAACACTCTATTCTAACGCATTTTACTTAGGCGTATGAACCAATTTTGCAAAACTATAATATCAGAAAGGCGTATGCTCATACGCCCTTCAAATACTTCTGTATTTCTTTTACGTCTACTAGACAGTATTAGCTTATACCCCTTCAGCTGATTTGGTAAATTTCACATAATCATAAATTCGGTTAAACTTGTGAAAAATTGTGTTGTTTTTTGGTGTTTTGTAAGTGTCCTAAATACCCGGTTAATGTTACAACATCGCTATATTCTGAAAAACTTCCTATAAAGAAATTAAAGTATAACAATTTATTGTCTATGTGCCAAGGCAAAGATGCAGTCATTCCTCCAAAATATAAATATTTTTATATTTCTTTGCCAGTAATAAATAGTTCCCAAAATTCCGATAATGAAGAATTTGATAACAAGTACGAAAACGACTTATAAAGAGGAAAAGGCAACGAAATTAAATGTAACAAATTTTAGTTGGTATTAATACAATTACTGTATTAAAGCATATTTTTGTATACTATACGCCTATTATTTAAATAAATTTAATACACGTTCCTAGAACATCCTAATATCAGAAGGGCGCATAAGCCGGAAACCAATTACATGTTGGCATTTTATTAGATATTAAATCTAAATGAACTATAATGTAATGGTCTTATTATATTGGCAAAATCAACAAATTCATTTTAAATCTTGATTTCTAATGCGTTTTTTTCCATTTTGTGTAAAATTTCAGATTTGGTCCACACACCCTTCTGATGTGACCCCCTCGATATGAAACATCCATACAACCTACTTTTAAAACAGATACCGACTGGACTATTGCTCAATCGTCTTCAGCGAGTCAAAATACACTAGGACTTCATATTATTTTTTTTGTGTGCCAGTGTAATTTGCAACAATCAGCCTTACAGAGCATTGTAGGCATAGCTTTTTAATACCTTTTAACGTAATAGTGTTATTTTTTCATGAACGAGTTAATGCTTACATGAATGTGAGGTCTACTTACAATGTTAATGTCTTGAGGATCCCGGCCGAGACCTTTGAAAACCAGTAGCCCTCTTTGACGCTGTTTTATTCTTGGGACAGTCGTATTGCAGGTGGCCGAATTTGCCGCAGTAGAGGCACTGGCGAGATGTTGTGTTACCAGCTGTATGGTGGGCCTCATAAATGTTCCTGTCGAATCTAGCAACAAAGCATTCTGACAGTCTGTGGCCTACCCTGCCGCAGAATTCGCATGTCAGCACGTTTTGATTCCCTTTATTCTGCTCCGGAAGTACTTGGGCGCTGCTTTCAGATACATACTGAACAGCCTTAGGCAACTGCGACGGGGTTGCTGCCGAAGTGTTCCCCTGGGAGTGTTTTTCTTCGAATCTAATCTGAAAGCACTCTATGCTAGAGTGACCAACTTTATCGCAGAAACAGCATTTCTGATTTGCCGAATCAGCGTCGGCTCGTTTCTGAGATGTGGATTGCTGCGGATTCTCTTGCTGTTTCTTCGCTATCTGTAACTTTTCTCTATCCATAGCCTCATATTTGTTTCTGTGGAAGAAACTATAAAATGGGCAGTTCACCGTCGCGTGACCTAGCTTATTGCAGCAGGAACATTTCTCCTCCGGCCGCACGGTATTTACGGTTGAGCACGACGCCCTGTTGACATTTTTCGGCACGTACTTGTTATCTTTATCCCCGCTTTGTTGGAGCAGGTTCTGCTTGTTAATTCCCAGGAGTGGGCAATCTAGGCTGGAATGTCCCATTTGGTTGCAGCACAGACACAAGCGTTTATTTTTTTGAGGTGACTTGTTGGCTTCGTCATTTTCGGTACCATCACTAACTCTAATAAGAAGGCAGTTCATGCGCAAATGACCTACTTTATTGCAGTTTGAACATTTCAGTTGGTCATTTTGAATTTGTTTTTCTTCAGGCTTCTTGTTCGGTCTGATTAGAGGACATTCTATAGTCCGATGTCCCGCTTTATTGCAGCCGGAACATTTCAGTTGGTTATTTTGACTTTGTTTTTCTTCAGGCTTCTTGTTAGGTCTGATGACAGGACATTCTATGGTCCGATGTCCCGCTTTATTGCAGCTGGAACATTTCAGTTGGTTATTTTGAATTTGTTTTTCTTCAGGCTTCTTGTTCGGTCTGATGAGAGGACATTCTATGGTCCGATGTCCCCCTTTATTGCAGCCAGAACATTTCAGTTGATTATTTTGACTTTGTTTTTCTTCAGGCTTCTTGTTAGGCCTGATGAGAGGACACTCTATGGTCCGATGTCCCGCTTTATTGCAGCCGGAACATTTCTCTTGATTGCCGACTCCTTCTTTCGAAGTTGAAGGTGGTTTACTTTGTACCATTTCACAAACTAAATCATCTTTAACCAATACAGGGGGACTATTACTTGGGGGTTTGTTCAAACGGTCTTTGTCCAACACAATTTTAATATTGCCTCGACGAGAGGTCCCCTCGCTGCCAATGAGAGGACAAACCAAGCTCGAGTGTCCCAGTTTGTCACAATAGGAACATTTCCCCTTGTTTTGGTCTTCCTTATCTTTAGCCTCTGTAGGCTTAGAATCGGACTTATCTTCATGCACTACGATTAAGTTGTTTGATTGACATCCCCTATCTGAATTCTTATTAGACTTCTTGGCAGAGTTCTCCTGTCGATGAGTCTGAAGGACTTCCACTTTGGTCTGAAGGACTTCCACTTTATCTCTGATTAATGGACAATCCATACTGGAATGCCCTTCCTTGTCGCAACAAGCGCATTTCTGGAGCTGGTCTGATTTCGGTGGGGCTTGCACTTTACTTTCTTTCTGATGTGTCGATTGTTTTTCAACAGTTTCTGGAGATTTTTTATCAGCAGTGGACAAATTTTCGGTTTTTCTAGACTTTTCGTCTGAAATCAGTATATTTTCATGCACGATGATTAAATTACTGTTTCCCTGGTCGCGATCCATGGCCGCTTTCTCTGTTTGCTCAGTTTTTATTACATGAGGAGTTTTATCGGTCATAATAAGGGGGCAATTTACGCTCAAGTGTCCTTTTTGATCGCAACAGGAACATATCTGATCTGACGTCTTCCGGCTTTCATCATTTTGCTTCTGATGTTCTTTTGTACTAGTAACATTAAACTTGTTTTTTTCCAGTAATACAATTAGGTTCTTTTTGGGTGCGCTGGGAGAGCAATCCATGCTGGATTCACCTTTACCTTGAGTTGGCGCTTTAACATGCTCATTAAGTAATTTGTTTGCCTTTCCAGCTTTCTTTTTGGAATACTGCATGTCTTTCTTTTCGTCGCATGTCTTAAAAAATGTGAGTAATTCTTCTCGCTTTTTGTAGTGCCCGATTCTAGCGATACAATTGGTGAAGGCGTCAGATATACCGCCTAGCAGGCAAGACATTATCTGTTCCTCAGAAAAATTCAATGGTTTCAGCCTATCTAGCTTTTCATTGTAGTATTCAACATAAGTTTCATCTTGCCTTTTCGTTCTATTAACCATCTTTAAGATACTAAAGTAATAATCGTCATGATTTGCAAAGGCGTGTGTGAGTTTTTCTTTAAATTCTTCCCAACTTATAACATCGGCAACGCTAGAAAACCATGAACGCAGCCGTGGCATTTTTGTCATCGCCCCTAGGACTTTGTGCTTCGCCGTGGAATCAGACCATTTCATTTTAGCCTTCATCTCTTCAACTTGCTTTGTCCAGTCTTTGATATCAATTTTTCTTCTGTACGGTGCGAATACGGTGCCTAAACTGAAGTCAAAAAAGGGGAGCTCATTAATAGCCACGCTCGAATTACTTGGATCGTCTTGCTCCACGTAAGCTGATTCAAATACAAGGTCTTCTTCCTCATCATTAGAATCAGAATCTATTTTTTGTTTTTTTGCCGAATCATCATTGAAATCCACTGAAGAAGGGCGCTTTCTGCTTCTATAGTAAATGTTAGTTATAGCAAAAAAATGAACAAAATCAACGTGTACTTACTCTATTTTTTCATTAGGAACATGTTTCTCATCTTCTTCCTCGATTTGCAAACAAGAATGTGATTCGTTCTCAGTATCGCATTTTAAAACTTTAAATAAATCGACTGTCTCTGATGGAAACTTTCCATAGTATGATTTAACTTTATTTTCTACATCAGTGAACTTTTTTATAAAGTCACAGGTTTTATGTAATGTGTCGATACATAATTTACAAATTAAGGGGTTTGTGGTCAAGTTTTCATCCTAAAAAATGTATTACAATAACCTAGGGGCATTGATAATAGACGAGATAATGTAATTGCCATTTTTGAAAGCACAAATATGAAATTAAATTATGAGGCATTTATCAAGGCTTGGAGGTTATTCGGTCAGGATTTTTTTTTTAACAAATACATTCAAATCTGTTTTGTCAGTGCCATTTATAACTTTAATGTAAAAATCAAACTTTAAACTCATGTCAAAAACCATTTAGGGATAGTTTCAGTGTAAAACTTGATTCATGTTAGAACGTGAATATATTTTTGGGAAATTTCATACAAAACATTATTCTTGTAAGAACAAATTCTTACAGAAAAATCCCTGAGAATTTTTATGAAATTTTATAGTTTCTTGTTCCTTATTATCTTACATATAAATTAGGTGAAATATCTTACTCTTACGCTATTCTATTTTTACGTCTCGTTTTAAATAATTCTCATATCATTCTAACATGAATCAGTCTTAATAAAGACCTAATTTTGCACCCAACACTAAAAATGCAATGGACAATAAAACCGTTGAAAATTTAGTACATTAAATACCTTCAAATTGTTATGGAATATTAGTTAAAATCCAGATCAAATCATGTACTTACCAAAGTTGATAAACATGATTCTAAAATTGAAGCAAACTCAGTCTTTGCATCCTTGATGCTCTTATAACCACCCTCATTACTCTTTAGGCATATTCTGCACACATGCTCATTCCTTGGCCAATTCTCATCTTTTTTATTTTTGCCTTTAATCAGTTCCTTAAGTTCAACGGAATGTTTTATTCCAAGATAGTTCCTTAAGAATCTTATCAATTTATTACTAGAGGAACAGGTGCGCTTTAATTTGTGGGATTCTTCTAAAGATTCCTTACATATATTACAGAAGACTGAATTCACTGGCGATGTTAATTTCTATGAAAAAAAATATTTGTCGATAGAAAACTTCATTACAATGTAATGTATAGGTACTCCATCAGTTATTACCTACATACATTACTTACCAGATCAGGTTGAAGCAGTTGTAACTTTTCAGTAAAATTTGCATCTAATGGTAAACAATTTTTGGAGGGTACAATTTTCAAGCAGAGACGACATACATTTTCTGTCTCCGACATAGCTGCAGGTTTTTACTAATTTAAACAAAAATTAATAACTTCAGTAATCTCGTGCCTTCCCCGTTTTAAATATATTCTAAAATAAAAACTTGTAAGTAGGCATTATCTCATTACCTAAACATAATTATTTTGTTTTGACATATCCACTGTATAAAATATAGAAAACAAATTAAATTAACCTACACTTTTCCGCGAAGATCACAAATTTTACTAGATTATAAAATAATTATTCAATAATTCTAGTAACGCTTTACATTTACATTTCATTCTTGATTTTATTTAGGTTCCACGGATGTCGTGCAATGGAAAATGGAAATGGAACTGAACAGTGAACAGGAAGCATAGAATTGCATGGATGCATGGAATCGAATGTTTATTCTTCATTCTTGCCAACTCCTCTCAAAAATACTAGTGCGTTTTACTCTTATTGTTAGAGTACACAGACCACCTCGCGCGCCATTATTCTATGGCTAGAAATTGGCCTCAATGATTTGGGATCGAGGGGGATTATCCCTCTTTATCCTGCCTCATCTCGTGTAGGCCTGGAC